GGTGGCAGTGGCACAGAGGGCAGGTCTTCTGGACATACAGCCATTTCTTAAGACAGCTTACATGGAAAAATGACTGCAAGGCATGATCACAGCAGATTTCATGTCCTGCTAACAGATGGCCCAAATATTGTGTTTCTCAAGCTGCTCTTTTGTAGCAACAGGTAATGATTTAATCTTATTCACAGCATCCATGTGGAGAAGAAAGCTCTCCCACTGAAGCTGGGCCTGAAGCCACACATTACAGTAGGAATAAATGAAGATGATCATTTAGCCTATCACTGTCCATTCTCCCAAGATGGTCTCTGAGACGCCATAAGCCACCACACAGAAACTCCACAAGAAACTCCAGCAGGCAGTAAGTGCCATTTGCGTAGCAGATGATATCATCCGTATTTTCTACTGGCTCTTTTCTGAATTCCTCCACCATCAATAAGACATAAAAAAAGTGTTCCTAGAACTTGAAGAGAGGTGCGATTGCTGCTGGAAATAATAAGAAGAAGCTAAAAGTCCATGTGGGAAAACTGGCAAGTGATATAAGCTGTATAAATCAGTAAAAATAAATGAAGGCTTACGGCATGGAAGTGTTTCCATAAACTCTTGTCTCTAGATGCTACCAGTGCCAAAACAATAGGACCTGCAATTTCTATCATAGACTGAAGGATAGAAGCCACAACAATGAAGAGACGAATACTGAGCAGGAATGCCTGGTGGACAACCTGTAGTTCTATCAGCCCAGTCTGCACCACCAGGATTAACAGCGTTACTCCTTCCATCATGCCCCAATTTATGGCAGGATCATTCACAAAAGCTCAATAACCTTGCATGTAAAACTTGCAGAGTGTCAGAACAACCAAGGCGACAAAAGACACTGTGAAGACCAAACCCACAAGAGAATAAGGAGTGAGGCAACATTCAGCAATATTTGTCAGAAAAAGGAAAAGAAGCCCCTCATGTGACGCAGGCTAATCTCGAATACTGAAATAGGAGTAAATCTGAAGAGCAAATAAGACAAGCCAGAAAAGCACGAAAAGTTCGAGGACTACCAGTTGATTCCACAGGGAGGTTCCCAAGGCTAGAAGGCCATTTACCTCCACAACCTGAACCAATTCTCTGTATGTAGACTTAGCAAGGTTATAAGGTACTAAAAGATTAGACACAAGAAAATAGAGAACTTCCAATCCAGTAAAAATGATAGCAAATTTGTTTATGATAACAATAGTCTCCAGAGGGACAAGGCAGAGTCATGCTAGTGAGGAAGCATGTGAGTTGAAAAGAGCCAGATCTGCTTCGTTTCCATGACACATGAGCATAAAGTACACACCCTCAACTGACCTATTAAGGCTATGGTAAACCGATTCATGGAAAGAGGTTCTAAATACATTGGTCCTTCATAGGTGGACTCCAGCTCACTCCTAACATAGTCCCTGGAGATTTAACGTCCAGCATAAAGTAGGGCAGTCAAAGAATATAGATAAGTCTGGGTCATATGGAAGTTCTTTCTGCAGTTGTTTGAGGAAGCTCCATACCATTTTCCATAAAGACTGCACCATTTTACAGTCCCACCAACAGTGTAGGAGCGTTCCCCTTTCTCAGCATCCTCACTAGCATTTGTTATTCTCAGTCTTTTTGATAATAGCCAGTCTAACTGTGGTGAGATGATATCTCAGTGAGGTTTTGATTTGCATTCCTTGGATGCTGAGTAATGTTGAACATTTTTTCATGTGTCCGTTGGCCATTCTGATATAGTCCTTTGAGAAATGCCTATTCAGCTCCTTTGCCCATTTTTTAATTCGGTTACTTGTTTTTTTACTGTTAAGTTGTTTGAGTTCTTTGTATAGTCCAGATATTAATCCTTTGTCGGATCCATATTTTGCAAATATTTTCTCCCACTCTGTTGTCTTTCATTCTGTTAATTGTTTCTATTGCAGATACAACAGATAGAACTGGCATGTGACCCAGCTATCCCACTGCTGGGCATATACCCAAAAGAATGGAAATTATCATGTTGAAGGGACACCTGTACTTGCATGTTTATTGCAGCACTATTTAAAATAGCCAAGAGTTGGAACCAGCCAAAATGTCCATCATTGGACTAGTGGATAAGGAAAATGTGGTATATGTATACCGTGGAATATTATTCTGCTATAAAAAAGAATGAAATCCTGCCATTTGCAGCAACGTGGATGAACTTAGAGAACATTATGTGAAGTGAAACAAGCCAGACACAGAAAGAGAAATGACACGTGCTCTCACTTATATGTGGGAGCTAATAAAAATAAATAAACAACAAAAAAAGATACAACAATCACAATAATTCATTGAATTTTTTAAGAGAAGAGAAGAGAGCTGAGGTTGCCAAGGGTATAAAGGGAGAGAGGGAGGGGGGAAGGGGCCACGAAAATCGATTCCATTGAATAATGGTAAATAATAATAACAATAATAATAATAATAGTAATAATAATAATATATAAGTAAAGCTGAACCAGATGCTGCCGGGGCATAGTTAGTAGCACAACAATTAAGATATAACCTACATAATGCATATTAAGAGCCAAATACTTATATTGGAAAAGAGGGTTGTCACTGAGGCTACTTCTTTGGATTTGCTGGAAAAAGGAGCTGACATCCCATCCGTACAGAACATCCAACAGCATGATGCTTGGTACCGTCAGGTCCACATTGAACACTGCCTCCAGTTTCTCTTTCCTCTCCAGCCGGGTTTATTTATTTTTTTCCCCCTTGGAGAAGACCTCGGGCCACGGCCTCCCTCCCTGCAGGGCGGTGATGCCGGCGGGAGGGCTCCGAAACTCCCGGTTCTCTCGCCAGCCTTACTGTTGTCCTCAGGCGGCGATGGCGGCGGCGGCGGTGGCAGCGGGGTTCCAGGACAGTGCGGCTCACAGCGGCGGCTCTTCCACGCCGGCCTTGGTTGTTGTGTCTTGGGAGGTGGTGGAGGGAGCGGCGGCGGAATCGGCCGGATGAATGCGGTCACCGCCTGAGCCCCTCAACAGCCTGTGGTGGTGGCGGCGGCTGCCATGGCCTCCTGCGCTCGCTGCTCCCGCCCCGGCGCTCTGCCGCAATCTGATGTTTTGATACACACATATGTTGGTTGCATAATGATCGGATCAGGGTGGCTAATGTAACCGTCTCCTCGTGAACTTATCATTCCTTTGTAGTGAAAACATTCAAAAGCTTCTGTAATATACAAATGTTAACTGTTAACCGTAGTCAATCTACTGTGCAACCGAACACCAGAACTTATTGATCCTAGTTGTGATTTTGCATATGTTGGTCAACCTCTCCCTGTTTTTCCTATCCCCCCCCCCCCCTTCCCGGTCTCTGGTTACCACTGTTGTACTCTCTGCTTCCATAATATCAACCTCTTTTTAACTCTTTTTTTTTTATTCCACATACGAGTGAGATCATGTGGTATTTGGCTTTCTGTGCCTGGCTTACTTCAGTTAACATGATGACCTCCAGGACCATCCATGTTGCTGCACATGACAGAATTTCATTCTTTTTTTTTTTTTTTCTGAATAGTAATCCATTGTGTATAGATAGCACATTTTTAAAAATCCATTAATTTGTTGTACACTTTGGCTGAGTCCTTATCATGGCTATTGTAAACTGTGCTGCAATAAACTAGGGAGCACAGATATATCTTTGACATACTGATTTTGTTTTCTTTGGATGTGTTCCTAGTAGTGGGACTGCTGGATCATATGGTAGTTCTACTTTTAATTTTTTGAGGAACCTTCATACTGTTTTCCATAGTGGCTGTACTAATTTACATTTCCACTGACAGTGTATAAGGGTTCTCCTTTCTCCAAATCTTCCCCAGAATTTGCTATTTTTCTTCTTTTTGATAATAGCCATTTAACTGGGGTGAGATGATACCACATTTTGGTTTTAATTTGCATTTCCCTGATGATTAGTGATATTCAGCATTTTCTCATATACCTGTTGGCCTTTTCTATGCCATCTTTTGAGAAATGTCAATTCAGATCTTTTGCCCACTTTTTAATTGGATTATTTGTTTTGTCGTTGTTTAGTTTTTTGAGTTCTCTATATATCCTGGGCATTAACCCCTTGTCAAACGCATATTTTGCAAATATTTTCTCCCATTCTGAAGGTTGTTGCTTTACTCTGTTGATTGTTTCCTTTGCTGTGCAGAAGCTTTTGAGTTCGATGTAATCTCATTTGTCTATTCTTGCTTTCGTTGCCTATGCTTTTGGGCTCATATTCATAAAGTCCTTGACGAGACCAATGTCATGGAGCATTTTCCCTATGTTTTCTTTGAGCAGTTTCATAGTTTTGAGTCTTATATTTAAGTCTTTCATCCATTTTGAATTGATCTTTGTATATGGTGACAGATAGGCCATAGATTTATTTTTCTGTATGTGGCCATCCAGTTTTCCCAGCACCATTTATTGGAGAGCAATGTCACTATTATTACTAGCATCAACAGCACCAAACATCATCATGAATATCATTACCATCAACATCATCATCATCAACTCCTTCATTGTCATCACCATCATCATGTCCATCATCTACACTGTTACTAGCATAAGCATATCATCACCATCACCATCATTACCAGCATCAACAGCACCAATATCATTTTTAACAACTTTATCATCATCATCATCATCATCATCATTATTCTCATCTTCATCAGCATAAGCATATTCATCACCACCAATACAATAACTGCCATCTTCTTTAATTCCATCATTACACTTACCGCAGTCATCATCATTATCATTATCATCTGTACAACCACCACGGTCACCATCATCTCATCATCAAAACTGTCATCCTCACCACCATTGCTATCATCATCTTCTTAATTATATTGATAACAATTCTGTGACTGGCAGTAATAGTGATGGCTGAATAATAATGAAGTTGATGAGGATGATGGTAGTGATGATAATGGCAATAATGATGGTAATAATTGTAATCAAATGATGATGGTGATAATAACAGTGATAGTGATGATGGCGGTTATTGTGGTGGTGAAGGTGATGATGATGGTTATGATAATTGTAATAAAGAAGATGAAAATAATAATGATGGTGATGATGATAGAAATGATTAATATGATGGTGATAACCATGGTGGTGATGATGTAAAAGATGATGACAGCGATGACGATTATGTAGACAATTCTGAGAATGATGATGATGAAGATGATGATATGGTGGTAAGAATGAATATGGTGAAATAGTGAGGATGATGATCTCTTATAATGATGATGGTCACGATAAGTGCAAGTCTGATGAAGCTAATGATAATGATGAAGATAAAAATGGTTATGATTCTGCAGTGAAGATGGTCATGGTAATGGTGATGGAGATATTGTAGTTGATAATGGTAGTGATGATTATGATGACGATGGTAATAATGTAGATGATAATAGTGATAAAAAAGAAGATTTTGGAGAGGAAGATGCTTATGATGTGTGTGAAGATGATGGTAAAGATGATAATAGTGATTTCAGTGGTGATTTGAATAGTTCATGGTAAAGATGATACTAGTGATTTGAATGGTGAAGACAATGGTGATGATAAGATTAAGATGGTGATAATGATAAAACAATGATGGTGATATTCATGATGGTGATAATGTTGGAGAAGATGATAGTGATAATGAAAATGATGATAATCATTGTGATCGACATGATGGCACCAGTGATGATGATGATAATCATTATGAGGATAATGCAAATGGTAGTGAAGATGATACTGGTAAGGATGATGAAGATGATGATGCTGATAATGAAGAAAATGATGATGGTGATACGATGATGACATGGACATGATTTTGATTCTGTTGATGATGATGGAGATGAAGAGTGAAAGATGATAAAAATGATGGTAATGCTGAATAGGAAGATAATGGTGATGATGATGTGAAGAGTATAGTGGTGATGATAAAAATGATTTAATGTTAATGATAATGAAATGAGAAGGGTGTGTTTGTCATAGTGGCGATGAGGGTGATGATAGTGATAATGATGGAGATATTGTAAATGATGATGGTGATGATGATGGTAATGATGATGACAACAGTGATAACTGATAATAATGGTGAAATCGGTGATGGTGATGATAATTCTGTTGATGATGAAGGTATTGATTATGATGGTATTATCGATGAAAATGATTCTGGCAGTGATGAGAGTTATGCTAATGATGGTAATGAAGATTATAAAAATGCTATCATAAAAATGAAATTGTTGTTGGAGGTGATAATTGTGAAGATGTTGAGGATACTGCTGCTGAGAGTGATTTTGTTAATTATGGTGATAGTGATGATGGTAATGGTAATGATGGTGAACATTATATTGATGAGATAAAGGTGAAGAATGATGTTGATCATATTGATGATCAAGGTTATGATAATGGAGACAATGAAAATGATGATGGGGATGATGTTGAGAATGACAATGGTGATGGACATGGTGATAATCATGGTGATCATGATAATGCTGTTGTCCATGATTGTAATTTTATTGGTGATGATGAGGATGGTGAAGATAAAGATAATGGTGATAATGAAGATGATGAAATAATGATAGTAATTTTCATGTTGGTGATGATGATGGCCATAATGGGGAACAATATGGTGAAAGTAATGGTGATAATGATGGTAAGGATCATGATGTTGGTGATGATGATTTTGAGAATGATAAGAATCTGCTGATGTTACTGGGTGCAGGCAGATCTCAGAAGAGCTCGGTTGTGAGACTCTCCAGTGCATGCTACCCAGCTCCCAGTGCCTGCTTCATCTCTCGTGCTTCCTTGTGTCACCCCTCATGCCCCCTGGAGAAATCACTGACACTGCTGCTGCTTTCGCCACTGCTGCCACTGCCATCACACAGAAAGAAGTCAGAGACACAGCGAGATGGCCATTAATGCCATGCCCTAGAATAAAGGACATCAGTTTCTGTGTGTCCTAATGATGCCCAAGTACTGGACTCTAAGGAATCTATGTGGTTCAGGAAGTTGTAGAAATCCACCTAACAATAGCACAGAGCAATGTGAAACTGTCCCAGGAGAAAGTAAAGGAAGTAAAATAGATGCAGAGGTAAGAATGAGAATGAATCTGATAAAAGGGAGCTGGTGTTCGAAGAAGATGGACAAGAGTATGCTCAGGTACTGAAAATGTTGAGAAATGGAGTTAGAAGCAACATGTTTTTTTAAAAAGCTTTTTTGTCTGTTTTTGCACATAAATATTATTAGCAAGAATGTCCAAAACAAATATATGTCCTCATTATTATAGTAGTGAAAAATAAATTTAGAAAACACAGATATGTTCAACCTGTTCTTTAAACTCAATGAATTCCCAGCCCTCTGTCCTTTTAGGTACTCTTTAGGTGCACTTTACATAATAGTTTTATATGGAGCAATTGCAACAATATTTTTGCAGGAAAACTTTCTTATCTAGGGTTGGATAGGCAAGAATCTGTTGGAACAGAGAATATACCCTATGGTCTTTAAGAATCAAGCTTAACATGCCAACCTTAATGTTACAGTCTGCCATGTTCACTAGATTTTTTTTGTGTGTGTGATAATTTGAGATTTTCAGAAAAATTACAAAGATAATACAGAGTTTTCATTTACTCTTACCCGGTGTTCCCTATTTTTAAACTTCCACATTACCAAGGAATATTTATCAAAACTAAGAAACCAATATTGGTGCATTACTATTAACTAAACTCTTGACTTAGTCACACAATTAATCTTTTTTAAAATTTTATTTTAACATTTATTTGTACATATTTGTAAGGTACATTATGTTGTTTCAATACATGCATATACTGCAAAATGATTCAGTTAGGGTAGATAGCATAATTTTGTACCCGTTAGTCCACCACTTCCCCTCCACCCGACCCCTTCCCTACCTACCCTCTGGTAACCACTATTCTACTCTCTACTTCTATGAGAACCACTTTTTTTTTGAAAGATTAAACATGAGTGATACAATGTGGTATTTTCTTTCTGTGCCTGACTTACTTCATTTAACATGGTGGGTTGTGCACCAGGAACCATGGCCTCCCCACCCTGAGTGTTGAGTCACATCTCTGAGCTGCTGAGAGTGAGCTGAGCCCTATAAACCTGCCCTGAGCTGAAGCCTCCCCATTAATCTGGTCCTGGCTGACCATCCCACCTTACTCACCATCTGGTTGCTATTTGCCAGTCTAGTTCCCTGGTGACCTCTCTCCAGTTCCATCCATGTTCTTGAAAATAATAGGATATCTTTTTTTTTTAAATAGCTGAATAGTATTCCATTGTGTATGTATACCACAGTTTTTTAAATCCATTCATTTCTTGATTGCATTTACGTTGATTCCATCTCTTGGCATTATGAATAGTGTTGCAAAGAACATGGATGTGCAGGTGTCTTTTTGATATATTGATTTCATTTCCTTTGGATATATATCCAGTAGTGGGATAGCTGGGTTGTAAGGTAGATCAATGTTTAGTTCTCTGAGGAATTTCCACACTGTTTTCCATAACGGCTGCACGAATTTACATTCCCACCAGTAGTGTAGGAGAGTTCCCTTTTCTCTGCATCCTCGCCAGCATTTGTAATTTTTCATCTTGTTGGTAATAGCCATTCTAACTGGAGTGAGATGATTTCCCATTATGGTTTTAATTTGTATTTCCCTGATGATTAGTGATTTTGACCATTTTTTCATATGCCCATTGGCCATTTGTATGTCTTCTTTTGAGAAATGTCTGTTCAGATCCTTTGCTGATGTGTAGTTTGCAAACATTTTCTCCCATTCTGCATGTTGTCCCTTCACTTTGTTGATAATGTCCCTTGCTGTACAGCTTTTTAGTTTGATGTAGTCCTATTTGTGTAATTTTGCTTCAGTTGCCTGGGCCTTTGTAGTCTTGCTCAAAGAGTGCTGCCTACTCCCATTTCATGTAGCATTTCCCTTATGTTTTCTTCTAGTAGTTTCATAGTTTGGGGTCTTAAATTTAGGCTTTTAATTCATTTTGAGTTCATTTTTGTGTATGGTGAGACATAGGGGCCTAATTTCAATCTTCTGCATGTGGATATCCAGTTTTCCCAACAGCATTTATTGAAGAGACTGTCCTTTTCCCACTGTATATTCTTGGCACCGTTGTTGAAAATCAGTTGGCTGTAAGTGAATGGGTTTATTTCTGATCTCTCTATTCTGTCCATTGGTCAATTTGTCTATTTTTATGTCAGTACTCTGCTGTTTTGGTTACTATATCTTTATCGTATATTTTGAAGTCAGGAAGTATGATACCTCTACCTTTGTTATTTTGCTCAAGATTGCTTTAGCTATATGGGTCTTTTGTGGTTCCATACCTTTAGGATTGTTTTTTTTCTATTTCTGTGAAGATTGCCTTTGGTATTTTGATAGTGATTGCACTGAATGTGTAGATTGCTTTGGGTAATATGGACATTTTGATGATTTTAATTCTTTCAACCCATGAACATAGGATATCTTTCCATTTATTTGTGTCCTCTTCAAATTTTTCACCAATGTTTTTAGTTTTCATTGCAGAGATCTTTCACCTCCTTTGTTAAACTTATGCCTAGGTATTTCATTTTTTTAGAAGCTCTTGTGAATGGAATTACTTTCTTGATTTCTCCTTTGGCTATTTGTTATTGGTGTATAGGAAGGCTATTGAATTTTTTCTGTTGCTTTTGTATACTGTCGCTATAGTAAATTGAATTATCAGTTCTAGTAATTTCATGGTAGAGTCTTTAGGATTTTCTAAATATATGATCATATTATCTTCAAATAGGGATAGTTTGACTTTCTCCCCTCTGATTTGGATGCCCTTTATTGCTTTTTCTTGCCTTATTATACTGGCTAGAACTTCCAGTACTATGTTGAATGAGAGTGGAAATTGGGCTTCCTTTTCTTGTTTCAGATCTTAGAGGAAAATCCTCCAATTTTTATCCTTTCAGTACATTAGCTGTGGGTTTGCCATATAAGACCCTTATTATGTTGAAGCACATTCCTTCTATCCCTTATTTATTGAGTGTTTTTATCACGAAGGAGTGTTAGATTTTATCAAATTCTTTTTGGGCATCTATTTAAATGATTGTATGTTTTTTTTTTCTCCTTCATTCTGTTGATGTGATATATCACTTTTATTGATCTGTGTATGTCCAACCATCCTTGCATCCCTGGGATTAATCCCATTTAATCATTATGAATGATCTTTTTAATGTATGGTTGCATTCTGTTTGCTAATATTTTGTTGAAGATCTTTGCATCTGTGTTCATTAGAGATATTTGTCTGTAGTTTTCTTTTTTTGTTGTGTCTTCTTCCAGTTTTGGTATGACCATAATGCTCGCAAAATGAGTTTGGGAGTATTTTCTCCTTTTCAATTTTTTGGAAGAGTCTGAGAAGAGGTGTTAGTTCTTCTTTAAGTGTTTGGTAGAATTTGGCAGTGAAACCATCTGGTCCTGGGTTTTTCTTTTTTGGAAGACTTTTTATTACTGCTTCAATCTCAGTACTTGTTATTGTTCTGTTTAGGTTTTCTAGTTCTTTAGGATTCAAAGTTGTCAAGTTGTATGTGTCCAGGAATTTATCCATTTCATCTAGGATTTCATATATTTGCATACAGTTTGCTTCCATATAGTTTGTTCATAGTAGTCTCTTATGACCCTTTGTATTTCTGTGGTATCAGTTGTAATGTCTCCTTTTTTGTTTATGGTTTTATTTGAGTCTTTTTTTTCTTCAGTAGTCCAGCTAAAGGTTTATTGATTTTATCTTTTTGAAAAACCAACTCTTTGTTTCATCCATCTTTTGTATTCTTTTTTAAATCTCTAATTCATATATTTCTGTTCTGATCTTTGTTATTTGTCTCTCTCTACTGATATATGTTTGGTTTCTTCTTGTTTTTCTAGTTCCTTGATTTGTAACATTAGGTTGTTTATTTGAAGTCTTTCTCCTTTTTTGATGTAGTCATTTATTGGTACAAACTTCCCTCTTAGCACTACTTTCACTTATCCCATATGTTCTCGTTTGTTGTGTTTTCATATTCATTTGTCTCCTGGAAGTTTTAGATTTCCTTTTAGATTTCTTCTTTGACTCATTCATTGTTTAGGAGTATATTGTTTACTTTCCAGGTCTTTGTAAGATTTCTAGTGTCTCTTTTGTAGCTGATTTCTAGTTTTATTTCATTATGGTTGGTCAAGGTAGTTGATATGATTTCAATTTTTAAAAATCTGCTAAAGCTTGTTTTGTGACCTAACATGTGTTCTGTTCTAGAGAATGTTCCATGTGCTGCTGAGAAGGATGTGTATTCTGTAGCTGCTGGATGAAATGTTTTATAAATATCAGTGAGGCCCAATTGGCCTAGAGTAGAGATTAGTTCTGTGTTTTCTTGGTTAATTTTCTATCTGGATGTTCTGTCCTTTACTACAAGTGGGGTGTAAAATTCCTCAATTATTATTGTGTTGTAGTCTATCTCTCCCATTAGGTCTAATAGTAATTGGTTTATATAACTAGGTGCTCTGGAGTTGGGTATATATATTTAGAATTGTTATATCCTCTTGTTAAATTGATTCCTTTAGGGGCCGGCCCGGTGGTGCACTGGATAGTGCGCTGCTTGAGAAGTGCGGCGGCGCTCCCGCCCGAGGGTTCGGATCCCACATACAGACCAGTTCCCGCTCACTGGCTGAGCGAGGCGCGGGAGCAACACCGAGGGTTGCGATCCCGTTGCCAGTCCCTGGTCCGGTACAGGGGCAACACTGAGGGTTGCGATCCATTGCCGGACACGGAAAAAGACAAAAGAAAAAAAAATTGATTCCTTTATCATAATATAATTACCTTTCTTATCTTTTTTTAACTTTCCTTGGCTTGATGTCTATTTTATCTGATATAAGTATAGATACTCCTGCTCTTTTTTGGTTTCTGTTTACACGAAATATCATTTTCCATCCCTTCACTTTCAGTTGATGTGTGTCTTTGTAGGTAAAGTAAGTTTCTTATAGGCAGCATATTATTGACTCTCGTTTTATATCCATTGAGCCACTCTGTGTCTTTAAATTGGGGCTTTTAATCCATTTACATTTAGAATTATTACTAGCATATAGGGACTCATTATTGCCATTTTGTTAACTTTTCTTTCTGTTGTTTTGCAGATCTCTTTTTCCTTCTTTCCAGTGTTACTGTCTCCCCTTGTGGTTGAGTGGTTCTCTCTAGCAGTATATTTTGATTTCTTGCTATTTATTTTTAGTATGTCTCATAAGTTTTTGTGTTATAGTTGTCATCAGGCTTACCAAAAACTTGTTATAGTTATAATAGATTATTTTAGACTAATAACTTAACGTTGATATCTAAGAAAGAAGAAAAAAAAACAAAGCCAACTTTCTGCTTTGGACTCTTTCCCCACTTTTTGACATTGTTTTCTCAAGTTACATGTTTTAATATTGACTATCTCTTATACGGTTGTTATATTTGTTATTGTCTTGTTAGGTTTGTCCTTTAGTCTTCCTACAGAGGATGTAAGTGGGTTATTCACCACCTTATCACACTGGAGTATTCTGAGGTTGTCTTGTAGTTATTTTACTAATGAATTATGTACCTTCAAATGTTTTCTTGCTGCTCCTTCTTATTGTCTTGTTTCAGACTGAAGGACTCTCTTTAGCGTTTCTTGTAAAGCAGACCTCTTGTTTATGAATTCCCTTAGCTTTTGTTTGTCTGGGAAAGACTTTATTTCTCCTTCATATATGAAGGTTAGTTTTGCTGGATATAGAATTCTTGGCTGACAGTCTTTTCCTTCAGAACTTTGAATATATCATCCCATTCTTTTCTGGCCTATAAAATTTCTACTGAGAAATCTGCTGACAGATGTATTCAGGCTCCCCTGAATGTTATGTGTTTCTTTTCTCTTGTTGCTTTCAATATTCGTTCTTTGTCTTTGGTTTCTGATAATTTAATTATTATGTGCCTTGGGGTCTTCCTCTTTGGCTTGAATTTGAATGGTGACCTCTTAGCTTCCTGTACCTGGATGCTGTCATCTTTCTCCATGCTTGGAAAATTTTCAGTCATTATTTCCTTGAGTATACTTTCTAGGTCTCTTCCTTTTTCCTCTCCTTCAGGTATCCCAAATATGTGGATGTTATTTTGCTTGAGGGAGTCTCATAACTGATGTATTTCTATTTCATTTTTTCCTATTCTTTTTCTTTTTCTTTTTTTTTGCTTCTCTGATTGGATAATTTCATATGTTCTGTCTTTGAGCTCAGTGATTCTGTCTTCTGTTTGACCAAGTCTGCTGTTGGAGCTTTCTAATTCTTTCTCTAATTTTTCAGTTCAGATAATGTATTCTTTATTGCTAGAATTTCTGTTTTTTAATTGATTCTATTACTTTGTCAGTTTTCTCATTCAGCACCTGGATTGTTTTCCAGATATTTAATTTTCTATCTCTATTTTCTGTGACTCTCTGAAGACCTTTAAGAGGGTTATTCTGAATTCTCTGTCAGATATTTCATAAATCCACTGTTCTTTTGGGTTCTTTGCTGGTGCTTTGCTTGTTTCCTTTGTTGGTGTCATATTTCTCTGTTCTTTCCCTATCTTTGCATCTTTACATTGATACCTGGGCATTTGAGGAGATTTCTACCTCTTCCAGGTTTTATAAATGTTCTTTGGTGGTGGTAGACCTTCACTCATTAATATCAGAGGTTTGTCTCTGGTCTGTTGTATTTTCCATTTTGTGGTGGGGCCTGTGCCTAACTCCAAAATTGGGAGCGCTTCCTGTGGAGACCTGAACTTGAGCTCTGTGCTTGAGCTGAATTGTTGCTTTGATGCTCTGTGCTTCAGCTGAATTGTTGCTTCGATGCTGATTTTCTTTGATGGGGAAGGCTTTTTGTGCAGATTGGATTTTCAGTGTGGTCTTTTAATCACTTCTGGGTTTTATGAGGTCTTAAAAGATATAACTGGGATGTGTGGAAATTGTGGGCCAGGACTAAGTGTTTCTTGCAATCTGCATCCCCTGCAGTTTTATCACCCTTACTGGTATTCACTGAGTAGTGCCCATGTAGATCAGCTGCCCACACTGTGCTCCAATGTGCCCCAAGCAGGCCAGCCTTCCTCCTCTCTCGAAACTCTTCCTGTGGGGCAGACTGTGCATGAGTCCCTTGCAATGATGCACCGAGCTCTGGGTGGTTACTTTCTCTGTAGGCTGTTGCCGCTTGCTCCTATGCAGGTCGAGGGAAACCCTGCAAGTGGTCTTGCTGGCCTGGGAGCTGGTATGGTATGTTCCAAAGCCCTCTTATCCTCTACAGACTCCAAGAAGCTTCATGCAAAGGGCACTGCTGCAGCTTGGCCATCTTCCACCAGCTGCTTTGTGTGCTGCAGCTGCTCCCCACCCCACACTGCACTGGCCCAGAAGTAGCCAGGGCTTGGAACAGTCCCTGCTCCCTCTCACCATGTCTTCTCATGCTTTCACATACTCTGCAGGTCTCTTCTCCTCTTCCGCTGAGCCCCAGCGGTCTTAGGATGGCAGTCTTTCCTTTTAATAGTTGTAAATTGATCAGTTGTTAGGAGGGGGAGGAGTTATGCTGAGGATTGTCTATCCTGCCATCTGGATGACGTCACCCCCAGAAGCAATGTGTTTCTATGGTATATAGAGGTTATGTCACATCAGAGGGAAACTGAGAAAAAATGTTTGGATAAATACCACAAGCATTATGTTGGTTGGTGTCTGAGACTGCCAGGAGAACAGTGCTGATATAATTTTAAATACAATGCAGATGAAGCTACAAGCCTGAAGACATATGGTGAGCTTCTGGAGCATGCTAAAATCAGTGAAAGTGACACATTTGGTCCTGGAGATGATGACAAAATTAGTTTTGATGATGCTGCAGATGTTGATGAAGATATTGGTGGTATCTAAATTGAGCTCAAAGTTTTACATTTCTAATTTTTCAGAATCTTGCCCTACAGTTTGGATTTTGGCCGTAACCCTTAAAGAAGGTTAAAATTTCTGTAGCATGAATGCAGTTTGTTAAAGCAGGCTGATTCGTTTCTAAGATATTCATGTTTCTTTAAAAACTGGTAATGCTGAATTATCTTAAGNTCCAAAATTGGGAGCGCTTCCTGTGGAGACCTGAACTTGAGCTCTGTGCTTGAGCTGAATTGTTGCTTTGATGCCGATTCTCTTTGATAGGGAAGGCTTTTTGTGCAGATTGGATTTTCAGTGTGGTTTTTTAATCACTTCTGGGTCTTATGAGGTCTCCATTGATAAAACTGGGATGTTTGGAAATTGTGGTCCAGGACTAAGTATTTCTTGCAAACTGCATCCTCTGCAGTATTATCACCCTTACTGGTATTCACTGAGAAGTGCCCATGTAGATCAGCTGCCCACACTGCGCTCCAGTGTTCCCCCAGCAGGCCAGCCTTCCTCCTCTCTCGAAACTCTTCCTGTGGGGCAGACTGTGCATGAGTCCCTTGCACTGATGCACTGAGCTCTGGGTGGTTCCTTTCTCAGTAGGCTGTGGCCCCTTGCTGCTATACAGGTCCTGGAGAACCCTGCAAGTGGTCTTGCTTGCCTGGGAGCTGGTATGGTATGTTCCAAAGCCCTTTTCTCCTGTACAGACTCCAAGAAGCTTCATGCAAAGGGCACTGCTGCAGCTTGGCCATCTTCCACCAGCTGCTTCGCGTGCTGCAGCTTCTCCCCACCCCACTCTGCACTGGCCCAGAAGTAGCCAGGGTGTGGAACAGTCCCTACTCCCTCTCACCATGGCTTCTCATACCTTCACATACTCTGCAGGTCTCTTCTCCTCTTCCACTGAGCCCCAGCGGTCTTAGGATGGCAGTCTTTCCTTTTTAATAGTTGTAAATTGATCAGTTGTTAGGAGGGGGAGGAGTAATGCTGAGGATTGTATATCCTGCCATCTCGGTGACATCACCCCCAGAAGCAATGTGTTTCTATGGTATATAGAGGTTATGTCACATCAGAGGGAAATTGAGAAAAAGGTTTGGATAAATGCCACAAACATATTGGTTGGTGTCTGAGACTGCCAGGATAACAGTGCTGATATAATTTTAAATACAATGCAGATGAAGCTACAAGCCTGAAGACATATGGTGAACTTCTGGAGTATGCTGAAATCAATGAACGTGACACATTTGGCCCTGGAGATGATGACAAAATTAATTTTGATGACGCTGGAGATGTTGATGAAGATATTGATGATATCTAAATTGAGATCAACGTTTTACATTTCTAATTTTTCTAAACATAGTCCTACAGGTTGGATTTTGGCCTTAACCCTTAAAGAAGGTTACAATTTCTGTAGCATGAATGCAGTTTGTTAAAGCAGGCTGATTTGTCTCTAAGATATTCATGTTTCTTTAAAAACTGGTAATGCTGAATTATCTTAAGTGAAGAATTAATCCCACTTTGTTCTTTTGATGTAATAGAGCTTAAGGGTAGAAGACCACATCGGCTGTGTAAAGAAAAAGGAAAACATGCATTGTTGCCTTTGCTATTTTAATCCCTTCCAATAAGTAAATAGATGTTTTGATATCATTTGCCTTGTATGATTAAGCCATAGTTTTGACTAGCCTGTTGACTGTACAGTCTTTCTGTATATTTCAGTTACCTAGATCTTCTCTTGAGATTTTGATACAATTGAGGGAGGCAGAAATCTGCATTTGGAATAAAAAAAGGTCTGATTTTCACATTAAAGTAGCATGTGGCTATTTTTTTTTCCCCCTTTTTGTCTTTTTTACTGATCGGTAACAGGATTGCAACCCTCGCTGTCGTGCCCGCACTGGGTAACGGCAACAGGATCGCAACCCTCGGTGATGCACCGCACCGCGCTCAGCCAGTGAGCGGGAACCGGTCTCCACATGGGATCCGAACCCTCAGCGGGAGCGCCGCTGCGCTCCCAATGGCACACTCTCCAGTGCGCCACCGGGCCGGCCGAGCATGTGGCTATTTTTATAGTAATTTTGACATAATGTACATTCTTTTTGTAATCTTATTTTGCCATCATAAACATATTTTTTTAAAAGCATTTCTAAAATGTAGTTTTTAGAACCCAAGGTTCAATAGCAATTTTAGATCTGTAAGGTTAGTAGTTGCAGAAATTGAACACTAGGTGGTGCCCAGTTATCTTAACATGGGAAGTATGAATCTTGATATTGTTGACTATTTTTTTCTTATTTACTGTGCATAGGAAATTTCCCAAACAAGAAAAGATTATTCTGGTCATACGCATGTATGTAGAATATTTTTACAACAGAAAGAATATCTTAAAAGTGTTATTTTATTTTCAGAATTCATATACATGTAATGTACAATTTTGAGTGCTTTATAAACACCTAAATATGTACAAATGAAAATTTAATTTTATAACAATTTGTACTAGTTAACCTACCTGTAAGCTTGGGAAAGAGGAAGGAATAACAACTTCATTAAAAGATGGTCTCCAATTTCTGAGTGGAAAAGCTATAGCTGAGAAATATAATAAGGAAAATATTATGCTGCAGAGTATATTATACCCTTACATTTTGCTAAGGATGTATTTTATTATGTGGACAGATTTTTTTTCCTTGTATTGGGAATGTAGTTTTACCCTTCCTTATTTAATTTTTAGTTATCAACTCTAATGAAATTAGGGCTGGGCTAGGTAGACTGCATTAGCCACATTAAAATCATATGCAACTTTTTAAAATAAGAGAACTGACATATGGCTTGTAAAACTTTTATTCTATTGGTCTCCAAAGAACTTTTCAGTGATGAAAAGTAACAGAGGAATTAACTTTCACCTGGCTTCAAAAAACAAGTCAGTCTTCTCTAATCTCACTCTTACCATAATTTTCTTTCCTAGGTATGCAAACTCTAGATTCAAAATCTGAGGTCCCGGGCCGGCCCGGTGGCGCACTGCTACTGTGCGCCGCTTGGGAGCGTGGTGGCGCTCCCGCTGAGGGTTCGGATCCCACATACAGACCGGTTCCCGCTCACTGGCTGAATGAATAACAAATAAGGAAATGTAGAAGAGTAGACAAATCTCCTGTGCAGAAGAATCGCTGACCATTTATGCAGTACTCTCTACTCCTCAAGTGTGGGCTGTGTATTAGTGACGTTCTTCTAATGAGAGTACAGTGTGGATGGGGCAAAAAGGGTAACTTTCCAGTAGGGAAACCTGAAAAACACCACCTGGGGGAGGTGGTCAAATTAACATCAACAGTGGTAAGGCACTGTTGGTAGTATATGTCCTTAATACCATGCCATGAGAATAGCACTTTACCTCTGTGGTCTTCCCCTTCCCAAATTAGTAATCCCAGGCTAATCACGACGGAATCATCAGAAAAATTCCAAAAGAGAAGAGGGTCATCCTACAATATGCCTGACTAGTATGGCACTCTTCAAAACTGTCAAGATCATCACAATCAAGGAATGCCTGAGAAACTGTCACAGCCAAGAGAGGAGCCTGAGGAGGAATAATGGGTAAATGTTGTGTGAAATGCTGGGTAGAATCCTGCAACAGAAAAAGGATATTAGATAAAAATGAAGGGAAATCTGAATAATGTGTGGATTTTTGATAATAACATTATATTGGTATAGTTTTATTAGTTGTGACAATTGTGCCATACTAAGATGTTAATAACAGGGGAGATTGAGTGAGACACATGCACCCAATCTGTACTATCTTTGCAATTTTTCTGTAAAAATAAAATTATTCTATAAGGAGATTATTAAAAACAGAAAAAAGAAAATGGAGCCAACTAGATGAAGTATATGTATGAAAAACCTATAGCAAACCTTACACATATATGGGGAAAAGTTGAAAGCTTTTACTCTGAAATTGGGAATTAGACAAGGATTCCTGCCATAACCATTTCTATTCAACATTTTGGTATAATGACTATGCAGTGTTGTAACAGGAAGCAGCAGAAGAAATAAGAGGCAGGGATCAGAAATTTTTAAAAAGTCCATGATTAACAGATGATTAGACTGTGTGAAAAAATTCCAAAAGAAATGAAGTTAAACTATTCGATCAATAAAAGTGTTTATGAAGGTTGCTAAGTGTAACCTCAATATACAGAAAGTAAACTTTCTTTCTGTAGCAACAAACACTATGAAGTAATAATGGAAGTAACCAAAATGCAACTTGTAAAATATTATACAAAATATCAAATATCTAAGATTAAATATAGCCAAAGAACATTTAAAAACTTTAAAGAAAAAATATTAGAATTCTATTTAGATAAATTAATGAACACCTACAATGAATATAAAATATAACATGATCATGGATATAAAGATTTAATACTGCAAACATGTTAATTGTCCCTAAATTAATCTACAGATTGCCTGCAATCTAAATAAAAAGTACAAATGGTTTTGTGGGTGAATGTGTGTGTGTGTTCATGTTCATGTGTATGTGAAACGTGACCCAATGATTCTAACGGCTAAATTGACATTCAAAAGGCAAAGCATAGGCTCTTGAGGTAACAGAAGATAAGAGGTGACACCCTAGCAGGTGAGTAAGAATTATTAAAATGCTATAGGAATGAAGTCTGTGGTATGGGTAGAGTGATTGATAAGCAGACCAAAAGAACTAAACAGAGTACTGAATGGACCCTTGATTTATGAAAAAAGGTGCAACTGCAGAGCAATGGGGAAAGGACAGTCATTTTAATAAATCACAGTGAAACAACTGGGTCTCTAAATAGAACAGAAAATGCAACTGGAACCCTCCTGATGCTATAGAAAAGCTAATTGCAGAGGAATGAAAGACCTAGTTTTCAAATTGTTGTAAAAATGTCAGCCATACATGAAATTATGTAGAATAGTAAAGTGAACTTCATATATTTCTGTCATCTAGAGAGCTAGCAGCATGGGTCAAGTAGGGCATTGATAATGCTGGACGGGAAAGGACTGAAGGAGGCTGGGGACGCTGGTCAGGTCAGTATCAGAAAGGATGCAGATGATATGAGTGGGGGAACGAGAGGAGGTGGCAGCTCCTTCTGCCCTTTGTCTCCAACGTAGATTGTCTTGCCACCTTCATGGGCCTTTCTTTTCAAAGAGCACAATCGAGAATGTGGAGGTGGCTTGGGAGAAAGCTACATGGATCGATGATCTGTTGATTCCACCTCCCACAGCATCCAGTGCTGAAATCTGGAGCCCTGGAGCTTCAAGAAGTATGGCCTGACAGCACGATTCAGAGACTCGTGACAAGGGATGTTGGGCTGACACTCTGAACAGTCCCAGGAGGACTTTACCCCCCTGGAGGCAGTGCCAGGTTATCCACATGTGACAGGAGCGGGGTCCTACCTCCGTCCTCACCAGGATGTGAGCTCTTGATGGGAGGAAGGATTTCAGGGTTTTTGCTTCCTTCATTTTATGCTCACTTCGAGGTGTCCTGCAGATCCTGCCCTTTTGTGGGAAACCCTCTCTAGGGATCCCGACTACGGGGACTTGGAGTCCTTAACGCAGCAAAGGAAGGGGTCTCTCCTGAGGTCAGAGGTACTCTAAAGGTAGAGAGGATAGGTATCATGGGATGACCCTGAGCTAATTTCACAATGGGAGGGGGCCTCCAGGGACAGCAGTGCATGGGCTTCTTCACCAGCACATCAGCTACCACCAGTCTGGGCAGGATATGTCATGGAAGTCTTAAAGAAGACCCTTCACCATTAAAATGGGATTTGGAGTTCCTAGTTGGAAAGGCTTCAGGGCAGCAGTCAGTCTCGGAATGAGAATGGGGTCACCCAAACTGGAGCTCCAGGTAATGGGCTAAGAAGGCACTGCAGGAAGGAAGAACGACATCTTGATTATCACATCTGCCCATGGATAGTTGCTGGCCCAGATCAATGTCTGCCCCAACCTCAGCTCCACCTACTTCCCCTCAGCTCTCCTCTCTCTCTCTTTCTCTCTCTCTCTCTCTCTCTTTTACATTTACAAGTTGGATTATATTATATTTTGCTTTATTTTATTTTCAATTTTTAAATTTATTTTTAGCATATTCATTCTTACAAATTGTTATATTTCCTTATGCCCTACTTTGGCTAAGATCAAGTGTAGTGCCCTCGCTCTTGACAGGGCCCTCACGGAATTCAGGAACCTCACGATTCCACAAGTGGTTGAATTGTGGTTTTGTAAGAGATTTCACTGAATGTTTGGGTCATCTCCACATCTACCTTGCCCAGGAACAACTCAGCTGTTGTGGAGGTTGGTTTCTTCCTCAGCTTT